TAATTACATTTACATTTACATACCTCTGAATGGAGCAGTAAAATGGTACACAGAGTTAACAAATACCATTTTCACTCTTAGGCAGAGAATCTGTGCACCTGCTTGCTAACACTTCACTACATTTCAGAATGTAACACAGCTGAGCAGCAGTTACAGAACATAATCTAGCATTGGACTTGATGACCTCGGAGGTCTCTTCCAACCCAGTTAATTCTATGATTTGTCACCTAAAAGCTAAATTCTTACTGTGTTTCTCTTGGGGGTTCATTTATATCTGTTCCCTCATAGCCAGGCAAAGTAGATGTAAAACACTATGTATTAACAGTATCCTGACTCACTGTTACAGATCACATCAGAGGGGGCACAGGGTACAGAGGAAGGCTTTCTAAAAGCTTGCCTAAATGAGAGAGATCTATCAGCAGCAACAGCAGTGAAAACTCAAATTTAGACACTCTTCACAACAACAATTCATACCACCAGTTTACCTGAATCTTAACAGATTATAATGGTCTCCCTTAATTAGAACTAACTCTCTTTATAAGCTATCTCCTTGAGTTCCATGCAAAGTCACTAATTTGAAGGCATTCTATACAAGAAAAACATCCTATTTTAGAGCTTTAAAGTGACTGAGATTTCAGAAAAAAAAACATTTTTTATTATCTAGTGTGAAATTTGTCTCAAGTAAAGTGAAACCTTCATATCTGTTAACATATGTTTTAAATAATTCTGTCTCTGCTGTTTGACCACACAGGTTAGAATTTCATCATGGCCAAAGGAGAATCCAGGATCTTGGTTTAGCGAATTTAAGCGAGGCAAACTTGTAAGTTGTTGCTGCAACGTAATTGTATTCACAAATTAGGGGCACGTTATCAGCAATCAGCAGATCCCAAGGAATTGTATAAATATTTACATAATGAAAAGACCCCCAGCCTCTTTGCCCTAAATATTATAGCAGTTATGTGGTCTCTTACCACTGGCCAGCAGAAGCCTGCTCTGTATTGCCCCACAGTGATCCCATGGGTCACCTGCACACCTGATGGTGAGGATGTGCCTTCTGGCAGACCCCACATCACCACTGACCCTTAATAAGGCAGCTGGAGCACAGATCCCCCAGTGTAGGTACCTGGAAATGTACTGAGTATGAAAAAAAGAGGCTGCAGGCTGATGTGACTTTAACTAAAAACAGATTCCCAAAAAGATTCTGCTGTTTTACCCTATAAGGGAGGAGTAATTCTCTGTCTTTCCCAATGGAATGAAGCTAAAATATGTAGTTCTTTGTCCTAAATATATTGCTACATCATGAAAATCTATTTACTGAGTCACAGCTGTATTGACCTTTAAAACTCCATAAAATGTTACATGTTGGTTGATTTTTTTTGTTAAGAACAGCTACGTGGTTCTTTCCAGTCAACAATAATTTTAGTTTGCATTGTAACAACAAAAAAGATAAATATTCATCTAACTTCTTGTATTTTCCAGCTCTCCTATTTGGATGTTGAAGGCAATTCCATTAATATGGTCCAAATGACATTCCTTAAACTACTGAGTGCCTCTGCCAGACAAAATTTCACTTACAACTGTCACCAGTCTGTAGCTTGGCATGACGCCCCGTCTGACAGCTATGACAAAGCTCTGAGGTTCCTGGGGTCCAACGATGAGGAAATGTCTTACGACAACAATCCCTACATCAAAGCTCTCCACGACGGCTGTGCAGTGAGTACACCTTCAAAGAGTCTTTGCAAAACCAACCTGTCATTTAAAGTAGAAATCAAACAAATCCATTTTTCATCGCTTTCTTCTGAGAAAAGCTTTCTAAACACTTTACTTTTCATATGCTGACTTTTGGCGGATTTTTAACTAAGGGTACACTAATCCCATATTTAATTTTCACATACATAACAAAAAAGAAATAACCATAAGCCAAGCAACAGAAATGGAACAAACCTGGAATGGCCATCAAGGCATATATTTAGTGAATACAGCAAAAACACGTATGGCATAAGCCATAGGTATGTACCCAAACATAGTACATTAATTTAATAGTTTGATACATGACTTTGTATTTCCTTTCCTCATTTTGTGTAGTCAAAGCCAGGTGAAGTTTGTGGATTTTACTTTTCAGAATCCTCCTTTAGCTTTGCTAAAATCCCCAGAGGTGTCCAAACATGCATCAGCTCTCTGATCACCTCTCCATCGGGGTCTCTGTGGGCATAACAACTGTTACCACTTTGCAGAAACAGAATGGTTTGTACTCAACACTTTGAAACAAAGACATCAAAAGAGCAAGTGACAGTTGAAGCCTCATTAATTATTTTGGGGTTTGATATGGGAGCATTTTGAAGGCAGTTTCTGAGAAGTCAGTGATACAGATTAGAGACCTGAAAGTGCCAGGATATACACCTGGCTCTGAGACAGAGATGCAGCTCAGGAGGTGCAGAGTCTCTGCTCAGCAGTGAGAGTCTACTACACAGCTGCTTCATGTCAGCCTTTCTATATTCCTTGTATTTTTATTTCACTTTTGTTATCCACAGTGGTGAAGGCAGAGCTCCTGAGAGAGCTGAACGTTTTAACTCTGTAAACTGAGAACCCTCAGATCTGTCAACTCGGATGCTTATCTGAACTCCAAGACTCTGGCACAGCTGAAGGGTCTCAGCAAATACGAGAGACCATGTAAAGGAAGTGCAGTTCTGATAACTAACACGGTGACTTGGCTGTGTGACATACAGAGGAGCCAGAGAGCTTTCTTTGGGCAGTGAGGGTGTGCCTTCAAAGCTGGCTTCTAAGTCCATCATCTGGCAGTCCTGTCAGACTACTCCTTTCTTTCCTGTCCAAACAGCTGCTGTAATATTTTGTGAGACAGTTACAGCCTCTCTCTTTCAGAACTAATTAATGATTTTTTCACAAGGAAGATGTGCACTGCTATGGGAATATTATTAGTTATTAAATAGTATAGACGTGAACTGAGAATTCTCTAAGAAAGACGAAATGTCTTAGATTATTTTTCATTTATAGGTCTGTTTTAGCAAGTCAAAAAACTATGGGCTATTCTCCTTCTAAAATAAAAATATTTTTAAAATAAAATCATAAGACAATTTATAAACATAATAAATTTTAGGGTTTGCAATATCTGCTGCCTGACGGGGCAGTAACTTAACAAATTCTCCACTTCAGAGATCACCTATGAGGATCTCCAGCGCAAGCTTACTGCTCTGATTGGTCTCTAACCATTGGCTTTCTTTTGCTTCTCTTTCAACAGTCAAGAAAGGGCTATGCAAAGACGGTGCTTGAAATCAACACGCCCAAAATAGACCAAGTGCCCATAGTTGATGTGATGATCAATGACTTTGGTGATCAGAACCAGAAGTTTGGATTTGAGGTCGGTCCTGTTTGCTTCCTTGGTTAAGCTTAAGACAAAATCAGATCAACAAAATGTTGCACTTTGGTGCTACCAACCCACTTCATGCCACATGCAAGTTTTGAATAAGGATGGCATAGAAAATATGTCTTGCTGTGTATGTATGCCTTATCTAGAAAGCAATCATTGCCCTTGTAGGGCCAGAATCACATGACTTAAACTTATTTTGCAAAGATGCTGTGGCACAGACAGACAACATAGGGCTCACTTCAGGAACACCCCCTTTGGATTCCTTTGGTGCTGTAAAAAATGAACGACATGGTGCTCCTTCCATTACAACAAAGAGGTGTTAAGAAAGTGTTTAATAAACTGTAATTATTCTATGTACAGTACTATACTGTTATTTCTCTGTCCATTTCCAAAACTTGCATGTGTCTCTGAATTGCATCTGGCTGTTATTTTACATTTACAAAACTACATGGTCAATACTGTGTATGTATTCTGAAAAAAATAAAACTGTAATTGCTGGTGAAGTCAATTCCATTTCTGATTAATAATAAAATCCCTTTGTATATATTGTTGTTGAAGAGCTTTGTTATTTGAAGTTGCCAGTAAACTTAAGGTGGCAAAACTGGAAGATCTTGAGCAGCACACTCAAACAACTCTTTTCTGCTGATATCACTCTGTGACAATGAATTTTAATAATGAAAGCACCTTCAAAGGTGCTGTGTTCCATGGTGCTATACCTCAGACTTTTTATTTTCTTTTCTAATTCCATAATTTCATAAGATAACTGTATATACCTAAAATAAACAAGTTTATATTTTTGGGTGGGAAAAATATGTAAGAAAAAAACAAACTTCTGTGTAAGAGAATTGTTAAAAAAATCGGTGTGAAATAAATTAGTCATATAGGTTTCCTTTTTTTTTTTTTTTTAAATCTCATCTAGATTTGTTTCCACTGTGCTTATTTGGTCTGCATAAATATAAAAGCTGAATTTCTAAACAATTATTTATGGAGTTTTGCAGTGTTTACGTAGATGTTTATGTAAGCAATGGATATTTGCTTCCTGAACTGGATACTAAAAGTTCCACAGAATGGTTCTATACGATATTTGCCCGTCCCATTAATATGAATGATTTTTTCTTCTTGTTACTCCACCTGAAGGCCAGGGATGCAATATGTCTAGGTCATGTGATTCTACACAGTTGCTAAGCAACATAGGAGGGACTGCTTCCTACAGAGCTGTCTCTGACCCAAGCCCTTGCAATTCGCTATTCAAAGCTCACCAAAAACACAGGTTGGTTTGGCCTTCCCTCTGAACATTTTATTCAGGTAGTTGGAAGTAGAAATTACATTTTAGCTTTACAACACAAATCCTTTTGTAATTATTTTTCATAATATATGTAAGACTTGAAAAGAAAAGTTTGTTTCTATTTCTTATAAATTGTTAAATTAAATAGTACTAGTTTCTGCTGGCTCGTTTCCAACTGGTATTTTCTTATGCACGTTTATACATGTAAAAGTGAGATTTCAAAAGTCAACTTCTTGCTGTTCATATTTTCTTTTATTTTTGAACCAAAGTTTGTAACTGTCACCTCAAAGAGGAAAATACAAATTTTATTAATAAAATCAAGTCTTGTCTATCTGGATTGGTCATTCTTTTATTTCAGTGTCCAAAACTCACCCACTGCCATTACCGTAACTTCATTCTGCTTCCAGACCATCCAGGCTCTAAACAAAAGTAATCTTTCTACATGTCCTGGCCAGCACTGGGCAACGGCACTGGGAGGAGAAGTCTGAACAGAGAAGCTGCTGGTCTGGCCATATCACTGTGCAGCAGGGCTGATAAGCTCTGTTTGTATGGATTTGTAGCTCCAGCAGTGCTCAAAATACCATCACCATACTCCACCTCAGCCACTCTTACAATGTCTGTCTGCTTCACAGTCTTGGGCTTATCCTTGTAGGACCCCATCAAGTAGGCAGGTGACCCTACTTATTAATGGGAAACGTGAGACAAGAATTAGACCAAGACTCAGAGACAACTGGAACACAAAATTTCCAGCACCTTGCTTTAGATAGGTAGTGGAACCAGAACTGGTGATGGGTCCCATCTAGAGACATGGCGTATGTCCCCAGGGCCTTCTCCAAAACAGCTTCTCTTTTTTTAAAACCTGCTAACTGTTCTTTAGTAACTCTGGTTATGTCTAAGCAAGCTGTGAAAGCAGCTACTTTCTGCTGCTCAAGTGGGCCAGGTAAAGTTAAGTTAGGGGCTGAGCTGTTCAAGCCTGTCTAAAAAAACCCAACAGTTCTGGGTGGTGTGCTTTAGGGTGATATGGGTAAAATATAAAAATGGCTGTGGTTTTACAGAGTCAGGATTAGTCTGCAGCAGAATGTTGCTTCTAAAAGTGCAACGATGTACTCAAGAAGCCAAATGAAAACAGATTTTTCCAGAATTAGTCAAAGCATCTTGCCAAGCTTTGGTGTTGGCAACATCCCAAAGGAGGAAATAAACTTGAGTCTTCTACACTTCTCAGGCAAGGACCCATCAGGTTTATTCTTTAACCCTTCTTAAGGCCTTACCCACATACCTTATTATTTATCCTTGTCATGAAAGCATCTCACCACTGCCAGTTATTCTCAGTCCTCTTTGTCCATTCTCTTTTTCAAAATGTTGTTGTTTTTCTCTTCAAGTTTCAGATTAAAGGGGGATTATATATTCTTGCCTTGAAGCAAAAATTATGCTGTTTTCCCTCGACTGAAGTCTCATATTAGCAGCGCCTAAAAAACAAACAAAAAGAGCACTCTTCAGAACAAAAAGAAATTTCACATTAAAACTCACACATTAGTCTTCCTATAAAATAAACTTCAGACTCTGTAGTTAAATCCTATCAGCCATAAAAACATAAAACCTCAGAGTCATCATATGCTATTATAAAAACAAACAAACTTACAAAAAACTATGCAAACCAAAGAAGAAAACCCAAAAGAAAACAAGGATCAATATTTTTCATGTTCTAAATTAAAAACCTGCGCAATCACAAAAAGGTTGAAATTGTAATACGATGTCTGGATTTTACCTGTAGAAACTGACAAAGGAGAACTTGGATGTTCTGTGATCGTGAGGGGCCACCTCACCTAAAGCAGACTGGGCAGTTTCTCTTGAAAATTTGCTTCAAGCCCCTCTCACCAGAAAAGCCATCCTGGAGATGGTTTCCCCACTGCAAACACAGACTGTGGGTGTGTTGCATGCAAATGGAGTGAGTCAGCACACGGCAAACACAAGCCCACAAATATTGAGACAATGATCTGTCCAGAATAACATGGATATACAAGAGAGATTTAAGTGACAAGCTATTACCACAGAGGCATAAACTGTTCAGTGTGAAGGTGTAGAGTTTCTTTGCCTCTCTCTCTCTTTCCTTTCCTCTTTCTAACCCAAGATAGAGCAATACCAATTCACCGTGGCTGGCACATCTCTTGGAAACCTTCATAAAAGGTAATGAAGATTTTATTTTCAGTCATTATGGCTTACATCAACAGCCACCATTTGATACAAAAAAACACCATCTGATTCAAAAAATAAGGACAGTTATCTGCTTAAGATTCTTCCCCTGGGGAACAGCTTTGTTAATTTTAAAATGAAGCTAATGACTAGAAAGAGAAGCTTTAAAAGCCATGATGGATTTTCTATTGCAAGCACACTCACTTTTCTGTGAATGAGCATCTTCTATTGTACGTGCACCAAAAAAACCTGAAAATGACAAAGACAGCATATTAAATGTCCTGTCTATTATATTTACTGGGAAACATGTCTTATTTGTGTTCCTTTGGTAGGCACATAAATTATCAGAGGCTCATTGTTAGTTCAGTGAAAAGCACTGCCAAGATTATTGCAAGGGAGTAGATTGCTCTAAAGCTATTTACACATTTTGTTTTCAATAAGAACATTGAAGATAATTTCAGGGAGGAAAGCTGCAAGCACACAGATATTCAGACATAATGCTCTGGTCAAAATTGGGCTTGTTCCTTTCCCAGCTGTGTGAATGAAGGCTCAGTTCTAATGAGGGAGGATGGAGCCAAAGCCTGCATTGCTACCAGGGACAGGTTTTGTCTGGGTTGTCCAGGGAGCTTTGGCAGACCTTGACTTTGTTTCCAGTTTCTCAAGGGTAGAAGAAGTGATCTCCATCAAAACATACCCAACTTCAGTAAGAGACAAGACTTGTTAAGAATTCAGCAGTGGGACTGGGATGTAAGTGCCTTCTCTGCTCCCTGGTATGATCTAACAAATTTTTTTTAACATCAAAAAGGCATTGTAGTTAAATCTTACTGAAGCATAAAAGAACTCCAGCTTGCACGGTGATTAAAATGCAGATGAAAATTAACGGCAGTCCACCCAATAAACTGCCAGAAGAAAACCAAATAAATTCTTCTCTAGCCCGAGAAGCTCTCTAAACTAAATAGGCTGTAAGGATGCAATGGTTAATTAAAAGAATCTTTCTGAGTTTCCAGAGTTGGGATAACAAGGCTGCCCAGCGTCCCAAGGTCATCTTAATAACCAGAAGCCTCACACTGAGTTCCCCTCTCAACCTGAAATATCTCATAGCCAGAGATGCTGGAGATGGCCCCAGCACCCCCCGTGCTGCAGCAGTGCAGGGCCATCATGCTGTGTGCAAGCTCTGAAGTTCCCCAGCACAAATACAAAGTAAACGCAGCTACAGCAGAGCCATAACCCGAGTTTTCAAGCAGAAAATATTAACTAAATGTTGAAACCTAGGATGTGACTCACAAATAACGATAAAAAAGTTACGATATAATTGTTGTTCCTGAAATGGAAACATTGATCTGTTATTTGTTAGTTTACTCACAATCTTCTGCAGGAAGCCCAGTGAAGGCAGCCAGGGGATTGTCACGGAGCTGCATCACTTCCAGAGCAGGCACTCTCCATTCCAGCACAGAAAGTATATTTAGTGGAATGAGAGATGAAAGGATATAGAATGAAGTTGGTTTTATTGGCATAAAAGCTTCTTTCTGTCAGATATTAACAACAACAACAACAAAAGGTAAGGTTTTATATTCTTATCATACAGTCTCTTGGGCCTGTGCCTTTTTTTTTTATTAGAATATCATCTCGGTGGCAGCTCAGGTAAGAAAGTAGCTCTGCTTTGGGGTCCTGTTGCCCAAATTGGCTCACAAGATAACGCAGCACAATGTGAGGGCTCAGGCTCTGGAGAATGCATAAATAGATAATCTTCATAACATTCGCTATTCAGTAGCTTTCTGATTCGGATGTATAGGGATCACTCATCCTTTTGTTATTCCTCAGAAGGATTTTAGAAATATCCACTTTGCTCTGAGCCTGCAGAGTTGTTCAATGCACAGATATTAAGATCAAAGCTGTTTACTGTCAGAAAGGGCCAAAAATGGAATTTTAATCTCTAAAAACTTTCCACAGCACTCTAAATTCTGAAAAGAACAAAGCAGGTTTCACCTTCCAACTTCTCCCACTTTTTTAACTGTGATGCTTCCATTTGAAATTGTAAGGTGTTTTTCTCCAAACTGATGGAAAATATTTGACTGGTAGGAGGAAGTTCACTCATATCCACACCAAGACAGTTTGTCCATGTGCTGGGGTACAGGAGCTGAGTGCAGTACTGACAGTGGAATAAAGGCACAATTAAATAGAAGAATAAAGGCATAATAAAATACTTTCTTGCAACAGAAAGCAGGAAAATGTGGAGGGAGGGGGCCTAGGAAATAAGGAAGCAGTGGGGAAATATGTGGGAAAAGGATGATAGGAGAGCTTGCTTCCTTCAGCATAGGGCAGGAGGGTGAGAAATGTTTATGGCCAGTCTGGGAGCATCCCATGTGAATGCTGGTGTACAGCAGGGGTCAGGGGCTGTTTCTCATTGCCAAGTGGCAGGGGGGCACCAGCCCCCTAGTAAGGAGGCAGCAGCAAAACTGGTTTACAAAAAACACACCTAAAAACAGTAGCAAAGATTGCACATCTCTGTGGAAAACACAGTGCTACTAATACCTGCAGCACCAGCTGCAGCCACGTCCCTGTCCCTTGCTCTCTGTCCCCTCCCTTCCCACGCTCACCTCTCTCAAAACAGTCCTGACTTTGCTTCCTCTGCAGGACCTCTATTCCTGTGGAGCAGCCACAGCATTTTGTGGCACTGGGGAACGACATTTGAAGTAGCATCGCACCTTTCCAAGAGAATTTTCCAGGAGAAAGCAACAAAAAAAAATTAAAAATGGACAGTACACGTGAACTGATAATAGCTGAAATTTTTCCTGATTAAATGATTCTTGACTATTTCAAGACATTATGCGGTTTTGCATGTGTGCATTCATTTCTCATGTTTTGCATAATCTTTCTGATGACTGTATGCGCAAGTTTACCATGGAGAAACAGCAGCTAGCCAATGTGATTACTCATTAAATTTAATGACTAGGTTAGAATCATCTACTATAAAACTAAGATGAAAGCGAAATCACAAATTTGAAAGCCAACTAAAGGCTGAAACATATGCAAGCAGAGTTAGTTAATACCCCCTTAATATGCATAACAATAAATACATCATACAGATATACAGCAAATTCAGATGCACGTTACCCAAGTGGAACTCAGCTGTGATGGTGTATGAAATGATACATTTAACACTAATGAGAGGTATAACTCAGAGACAGCAAAAACATCAAAAGTACTTTAGGGCTCTCTTGCAACACTGGAATATTTTTCATAGCCAGATAGCATTCCAACCTTTTCTGTTTAAGCACAGGGAAGGAATACAGAGCTTGATGTGTGCCTCTAAATATCTGTAAATAAGTGCAGAGGTCAGGGCTGTAACACTGCAAAAAAGCAGAAAAGGGTAAAGCCCAGGGCCTACAAACACTGTATGTGTGACAAGGGAAGATTACAAAGGAAGATGACCAAGTACAGCTGAGGAATCATAGAATAGCCTGAGTTGGAAGGGACTCACAAGGATCACTGAAGTCCAACTCCTGGCCCTGCCAGGACAGCCCCAAAAATCACACCTGTGTGCCTGAGAGCATTTTCCAAATGCTCCTTGAACTCTGGCAGGTTTGGTGCTGTGACTACTTTCCCGGGGAGCCTGTTCCAGAGTCCAACCACCCTCTGGGTGAAAAACCTTTCTCTAATATCCAACCTCAGCCTCTCCTGACACAACTTCAGGCCATTCCCTCGAGTCCTGTCACCGGCCACCACAGAGAAGAGATCAGTGCCTGCCCCTCTTCGTCCCCTCACAAGGATGTTGTAACTGCACTGAGGTCTCCCCTCAGTCTCCTCCAGGCTGAACAGACCAAGTGACCTCAGCCACTCCTCACACAGTTTCCCCTCAAGGCCCTTCACCATCTCTGTAGCCTCCTTTGGCTGCTCTTTATTAGGTTTAAATTTTTCTTGTATTGTGTCTCCCAAAACTGCACAGAGCACTCAAGGTGATACGAGCACTTGAGTATTTGATGAAATACACAAAAGCCCTCTTTTAAGACATGGCTTTAATGACACTTATTTGGATGTTTATTCTCAGCAAAACTTCCACCTCTGCCAAGGAGGGAGTTTGGGCTGACACTGGCAGCACCGGTTCTCTGTGCCCATGCGGCTGCCTCGGCCCAGCATCATTTTGTCAGGCACTTTATTTCCCCTCAATTCTCATTTCTCCTTAAAAGCATCATATTAATGTACCAGTGGAAGAGGTGGATTCACATTTAGTTTTATCTCTTCAAAGGCGTAAGTAAGGTTAAAAAAACCCAACTCAACAAAAAACCAAAACCCACAAAGTACAAACCTTGCCCTCTCCTCCTCGTGACACACCAACCTGTGCACGTCCTCTGGGCTGCAAAACCTGAGTAGCTGTGGGCCTTCTAAAAAGCTGTATAAACCAGCTAGGGTTGTGTGTCATTGGTTTTGAAGCACCATTCAAAAAGTTTTTACGCTGAAAACTCTTCCACCGAGACATGAGTCATAAATAAGCAGCTTTGTGGTGGATGCAGTAGCTCCTCTTTCATGTAATCTCTTTTTCTGAAAGCTTTGATTGAGAGCTAAGCCACATTCAGGGTTTTGTGGTTGAGTCTGGGAGCTTCCTTCAGTAATCTCATTCCTGAATTAATTGCAGCTGGAGCTCATCACCCATAATAACATTTCCAGAATCTTTCCCTTATTATCTTCATCTGTCAGGTTAAATTCATCTTTTTGACATGACACACATTAAAAGCTGTGAAAGAGAAGTACATACTTTGTTACTCAATGGGGACAAGCAGCACACAGTGCTGCTACTGCCCACAGGTCTGCTTTGGCCCTTGATGAAACATGAAGGACATTTCAGCGAACTTCAAACACAAACAGCTGAAAATAAGAAATCTTCTTGTCCCCAGTCCATCACCTTTAAGGACCATGGCAAGGATTCTTCTACCTTCCCAGTTTCAGGATGTTTCTATGCAACATGTACAACCAAGTAAGAGACCCGCACCAGTCCCACACACAGACAAGAAGCAAATTATCAGCTGTGGTCTAGGCTGGGCTCTCTCCCCCTCAGTTCTCCTTGGCTGTGAATTGCCTTAGGCTGAGGGTATCAGAAAAAATGCCATTATAATTTTTGCTCAAAGTATTCAGCTGCCAGGCAGCCAGGTAAGGACTGTAAGGGAAAACATTCCTGAGAAGGGGAGAACTCCAGACTGTTACTCCAGGTAATTCTAAGTTAACACAGGTGCAAACCATGCACTCCCCTTGTTAACCATTGTTCATATTGGAATTGCAAAAAAAAAGGTCTTACCCTTAATGAGGTAGGGTCCAGTTATGCAGGAAATGCATGGACACATTTCAGACACCTGGGGATAAAAGGAGAGAAAGGGTAAGACAGTTTTGAGCTGTATTTTGTCTCACAAGAAAATCGATGCAAAATCTCTGTGTCAGATGCTTTTATAATATCTGGAAAAAAAATACACACAAATGAATTCTATCTGTATGCTTTCATGAAAACACAATAAAATTGAAAAAAATACTTTGTGTAGTAAATAGAAAGCTTGATGTATCTTACAGGAGTCCAAAAGTTTTAAGGCAAATCCAAAGAACCTGTTTCAGTAGGCTTAGGTTTCCTGCACATGGATGCACTACATTTCATTTTTCAACTTCTTAAAAGCTTTTATTTGATGTTAGGAAAAAATATCCCATCAGTCAATGACTTATTGTAAACATATACCAGTATAAAACATACAAAATATACTTTTATAGAAGTTACTCACATGAATATAAATTCATATTAAGACAGAAATACATTCATTCTTTACTGTGGTCTAATTTCACAAAATTTCCAGGATTTGTGCTGGTACCAAACCAAGAGTGCAGAAAGCTCCTGAAGGCTGGTACCAGGGTAAGTGAAAGGGGAATCAGAGCCATTCTGCTTTTCTGACTGCTATTATGATAATGGCATCAGTACCTTGACAGATGCTGAGAAGAATAATTTTGCTGATTGACTTTTCTTCAAACCTAAGCTGTGGGCAATCAAAGAAAATATGAACATCTGGATGAGCTTTTGATTGCCATGCTCACTGATATACTGCACCCAAATAAGCAACAATTAGTACAGCTTGTGTCAAAAGACCCATCAGTTAATTCAAATTAAGGCAGGAAAATTGAATCCTATTGGCATTCATGCATATTTGTATGCATAGTTTAAATAAGCTTCTTCTGCACTCCATTATCCTTTATTTACATGGAAAACACATGCAAGTTTTGTGTTTTAAGTAAATATTTTCAAAAGCTTTTTGATTCTTAAAGCCAAACTTCTGGGAAAACTCTATGTCCTTTGGAAGGACATATCCAGTATAATAAAGATAAAAATTTGTTGGCTTTCCAAAGTTCACATTTCTCACTTGGTAATACATTTCACAAATTCGGAGAAGTTATTCATAAGCATTTTGTCAGTTGCAATTACAATAACATCAGACTGGTATCTGGGTAAACTTACTAGCAAACATGGTGGTCAAGATAACTACCAGACTGCAGTAAGAAAGTCCTAAAACTGAAGAGTAATTTCCTCATGTTTTTGCTTGATTTTGAGTGTAAAACCCTGGGAATATGTCTCTTCTTTCAAAAAAAAATAGCATTCTTGTTTGGATTCTATTTATAGAAACAGTAAATTAGGTTGCATGAGAACCTGAGATTAAAAGTAATCAATGGCAAAAGACAAAGTTGAAGTGCTTAATTTTCTAAAAAGAGAAATTTTTTAAAGAGAAATTTTAATTCTAGCTTCTTGCAGTAAATAAACTTTAGTCCTTGCTTGGCAGATATAGATACCATTGTTTCCAAGTTAACCTGTTGAGATATTATTTGTAACTTGGGTGTAGAAGTCTGTTCTTTTTTAAAAAATTGGGTCAGCTCTGGCTGAGGTGCTATTGGTGCTCAACTAACCAGAGGTCAAATTTACTGTAATCTCACCTAAATATCAGTTAGCTCAATCTAACTGACCCCAAAATTCTCTTAGCAAACCCCAGTGTTTCTGCAGCACATCCAGCAGTGGTCACCTACAGCCGCTGCAGAGCCGTGGTGAGTGAGGGTCACCCACACAGCCCCAGCTGCATCATGAGCTGGGCCCCCACCCTGCCTGCAGCCCCGAGAGCCCGCTGTTATCAGAGCCAGGGGCCTCAGAGCAGTGCTGGGGATGTCTGAAACACTGCTAGGATAGGAGAGGGACCATGCCAGAGGAGAAGGTTGGGTGAGTCAGTCCACTGGCAGGGTACTCAGGTGGCCACATTACCAGCTGCCACGGGTGCAGTGAGTGCAGCCAAGCAGCTGTTACATTCTTTTTTTCTGAAGGTCCACTTTGATGCCAAGAAATGGGTTTTCCTAATCACTGACTCCTGTGAATATTAAGACTCCAACACTCTTGAGAACAATCAAATCAATTAATTAGAAAACTGTTACTGTGCTGCTTTCATAAATCAAGGATTAGCTTGTGATCCATAACTTCAAACAGCCCTTTAGCAGTTGTTTTCTTGGAGCTCTTTCCTTTAAAATACTAATACATCCATCTTATACATCCATCTTCTGATTCAGAGGTTAAAAGTTCTTCTATTAGCATTACCTTTAGAAATATATTTGATGGAAAATCCCTTAGATAGTCTAATGATGTGGTCCAGTTGCTCTAAAGTGTACAGGCCCCTTACAAATGCTACTCAAAAATCAATACCAATCCTTCAGTGCCTTCAAAGGATGTGGAATAAGGGCCTTAATAATAGTGATTGTCTTCAGCAAATAACTGTTCAGTGATTATTCTGCAGTGGCCTACAAGTCCAAATTCCCCTCAATAACTTTCAAAATGGATGCATGCTGGGAAATGTAAAATCATCCCTAGCAGACAGGTCAGTAGCTGAACTTTCTGGCTCGTCAAGTGCCTACTTAGCTACTCTGTTGCTTTGTCATCATTGACATAAGATTTTGGAGAGGAAAATCTACTAAAAAAAGTAAGTTCTAAAATAGTAGGTCAGCTTCTCAGACATGTTCAGCACACCAAAGAATATTGTGCACCACAGGAGAATCAGCTGGCAGCCTCTCATTTTGCCCATTTTATTTCAGAATTTGAAAGTAGACTAAAGAGAATAAATTTTCAAAGACTGTGGTAGTAGGGAAGAAAAATCACTCCAAATCGGTAACAACGAAGCAGCATTCATAGTTACATCCTCTGATATTTATTCTCTGAGTAAAGCAGCCTGATTGCTTGGAGTCAGTAACAGGGGAATATTTAGCAAAGTTTGAAGTAGTGTGGAAATTACTTTACTGATAAGACTCTGAATGTAATGTTGTGGCACCTTCCTGGAGTTCAAGTTTCCATGAGAAAGTCACAGTGGACAATATCAAAAGCTCAGCACAGTCCAGATGTAACAGCCATTGCTTTGACCATCCACAGGAACAGCTGCACTGAGGAAGTAAGAGACTGGCTTGGCTTGTCTAGAGCAAGTCATAGAAAGCCAATCTTGCCTGTTCCTTACCCCCTTGTTATCATCTGCATGCTGCTACTGTGTCAAAACAACCAACCAACCAACCAAAATGGTTCTTTCCACTTCTGGTCAGCTTTTTCCCTGTTAAATAGAATGAATAAACAATCTCTCATAATTAGCCCACATGAAGAATCAAAAAATGCATTGAATACATGAGCCTATTTCCTATTATCTGCCATTCCTATGTCTTAATATTTGCATGTTCCTCTCTCTTACTTCTCAAATGTGCTACTACTTTTCATACAATGTCTTTATTTTCAGACCAAGCAAGAGTTCTTTGTTCAGTTCTGCTGACCTGTTACTGCACTTCTCTCTTATTAATGTGTTTTACCTTTGCATAAAACATTCCACACACAAGCTGCTTTGGAACAAAGGGTCCTGTGAGGGCAGGTCACAGTAACACGAATTCTAGCAGTGTGTATCCACGGCACTGGGCCTCACTGCCACAGCAATTCTACAAGTTCCAGTCCTGGTTACAGGGGTCTCAGGACTTCTAATATTTGTACTTTATACACAACACAAGAAGTCGTGTAAAATGCACTGCAAGTACAGTCAATGTGCCCCCCAAAGTGGCTCAACATATTTCTTACAGATTTGTTGTCTCAACTTATTTGCCCATCCTCAGGGACACACAAAGTTTCCAGTACCTCCTATGTTTGCTAAGAGATCAGGCTTTTCTGCTCCTTGGTTGCATCCAATTCACTCTCAAAAATTCGAGTCATGAAAAAAGTTCTGTCTCTCCACAGAATTCTTGGAAAATGAGTGTTTCCTAAGAAAGGAGGTTCTTGGCATACAGAACAGAGAACCTTGTTACATTTATGCTTCATCCTATCACAACTTTTAAGTAAAAATATTGGAAAAAAATTGTCCATATACATACATAGATTGGCTGCCAGTGACGTTACTTGCTAGAAGACACAATGAAGTAATAATATAATAAGAAAAATAACTTTGGAAATATAAAGACAGTGACCTTTTTGTATGTTAGCAAAAGAAGTACAAAATAAAGACTGGAGAACACCCATCTGTTGTTTTAATCCTACATTAGATGCAAAGTATTTTTATTTTAATCATATCTCAAGTATTAAAGCTTATTTCCTACTAGTATTTCTTCCAACTTAACTGTCTTAGCAAGTTAAAAAAACCAAAACCCTCTTTGCTGACTCGCTGAACCACCATGTTGAGCTCTGTGGCTCCATTAACCATAATAAAATCATTATCATGACTTATTCCTTCATGATTAATATATAGTGTTTGTATGAACGTTCGTTGTGACTGCAAGTATATTGTGCAATCCAGCAGCTGACACTGTAAGTTATGCAATCCATAAATATTAGGATAGAGAAAATCTTAGTGTGATTTCAGACCCAGTTTTGTTAAAACAATTCTCTGAACTAGCCACTCTCCTTGTGAGGACATTCTGGTAGCTTGGGGGGTTTTTTTTCATTTCAAAATACTTTGAGAACAAATGTTATGTCCAACTATATTCTCTGCAATAAGCATAAGGTAGTGAAATAAATTAGACTAAGTACCTACCCAGGAGTAAAATTAGGTTTTACAGGCATGAGTGCTACCAGAGCTATCAAACTCAGGGAACCCTTTACGATGTAGATCTTAGTGATATGGTAATAATAGGATACTTTAAGCAAGCTGTTGGCTGAATCAGACAAGTTAATCTCAACTATATGTTAGTCAAGTCATTTTATCCTCATAAGTTGATTTTAGTCCATTAAGAGAGCCTTTTCGCTTCACAGTGTGGACAGTCATTATATTTCCCTCCCTTCATGTGTCTTCACTCAAAGCAGCACTCAACCACTTTGGTGCTTATTACT